GGAAGAGGAGGAGGAGGAGGAGGAGGAGGAGGACCAGAGCAAACCCAAGACCCATCAACGATATTGCAATCAACCCTCCCTGCAAGCCCCCTCTTCACAGGCCCCTGACAAGCACTCGTTTTCGAGAAGCGGAGGGCCCCGTTGGAAGACAACCGTTTGAAAATCTTGAATTGTGCCAGGACGCCATCCCTGGGATTTCAACGCCGCGTATCACCGGTACTGTTGCGTTTTGACGACCCTGAACCGTGTCAGAACATCATTCCTGGGACGGCAACACCGCGAGGCAACGTAACGGTTGCGCCCTGGCATTCTGACACTGTGCCGAGCCACTAGTCCTAGGACGCTAGACATACGAATCTTCGAAACTCTTGTAAACTCTTAAACCGAATGTGCGCAAGGCTAAGGCGAGAGCCACCTTTTGAAAATGAACCGCCGTCCATGCGTGAAATTCTTGCCATTTGATTAAGGCGAATATGCGCAGCGCGAAGGCGAGAACCGAATTTTGAAGTCGGCCCGCCCTCCATTCGTGAAGCTCTTGCAATGTATAAGACGAGTGTGCTCGGCGATAGAGCGAGAGCAACACTTTGAAAGCGGCCCACCCTCCTTGCATGAAGCTCTGCAACTTGTAAAACGAATGCTCGCGGCGCCAGGGCCATTGCCACATTTTGAAAACGGCCCGCCCTCAATCCGTGAAGCATTGGCAATGCTTAAGACGAGTGTACGTGGCGCTAAGGTGAGGGTCACATTTCGAAAACGTCCCGTCCTCCGTCCGTGAAGCTCTCACAATTTGTAGTCGACCACTGTGCGAGGCGGTAAGGCGAGGAGGAGGAGGTGGAGGTGGAGGAGAAGGAGGAGGAGGGAGGAGAAGGAGGGGGAGGAGGAGGAGGAGGAGGAGGGGGAGGAGGAGGGAGGAGGAGGAAGAGGGGGACGAGGAGGGAGGAGGAGGAGGGGAGGAGGAGGAGGAGGAGGAGGAGGAGGAGGGAGGAGGAGGAGGAGGAGGGAGGATGGAGGAGGAGGAGGGAGAAGGAGGAGGGAGGAGGAGGAGGCTCGCCACCTTCCTGGCCCCCTCGGCTCAAGTCGGGCTGCTCGCGCCCCTGCACGCCGCCGGGCGGCGCGCCCGCGGGCGCGCACGCCTCCCCCGCCGCCCCCTCTCCGGGAGCTGCCCCCATGGCGCCAGGCGGCTCGCCGGGGAGGGAGGGCCCCCAAAACGGGGTGGTGACCACACCGTGTGGTGATCGTTTTATCGCCGAATATAAAGAAACGCCGAAAAGAAAAATAAGCGCTCGAAGGGGTCCAGACCTCTGGGGGTCGACGCTGCGAAAAAGCGCGGCGCTGGGGGTCTGGGCCCCGCCCAGGGTCCATAGGTCGATCCGATCGATCCGGCCCGCAGCCGATGCCGGCCGGCCCGATCCGATATTCGATTCCGGTATGCCGACGATTCAGTATCGGGGGCCCCTTAAACCGGGTGGTGACCACACCGTGCGGTGATCGTTTTTGTTATTCGTTGTTTTGCCGATCGGCGCGGGCCCCCAAACCTCCCCTTCCCCCCCATGGAGTAGATCTTGGCTGTTTTTTGTTGGGCCCCGTTTCGAGCGGGTGGAGTCTCCCCCAGAGGCAGCACTCTTGCAGACAGTCGCACTAAGCAGAGGTCTGGAGCCAGACCCCCCCTCCTCCCCTCCCTTCCGCCCAATGTCAAAACGCCGAAGAAAAGAAACGTTCACCACACCGTGTGGTGAGTCGGTGGGGATTCGGGGTCACCGCACGGTTTTGGGACTCGAGTCCCTCTCCGAGGGTGTATCGGGCGACAGGAGCCTCCAGGGTCCCAAGACCGCGCGGTGACGGACCGTGCGGTGAGGTCTCTTGGGGTTCCGAGGTCACCGCACGGTCTGTCACCACACGGTTTTGGGATCCCCATGGGAGTGGGGGGCCGGCCTCTGCTGCGTCCTCGGCGGGGGCGTGGGCAGAGGTCGACTGCACTTACCCTGAGATCCTGGCGTTGCAATTTTTTGGCAAGGGGCTTTTTCGCTCCATTTCGGGCCCCAGGGCCCTCACAGATCGATACGGCTCGGAAAATGATCCAGGAAGATGTGGTCTGGGGCTCCGGTCGTGATTTTTCGCGATGTCGCCTTCTGTTTCGCAACGTCGGATCTCAGCGACGCGCAAGAGGGACCCTCTGCCGGAAGGTCTTGTGGTGCGGGTCCAATGGGGCCTCCCGAGCGCCGAGAGCGATGCGGCAGCAGCGTCTTGCGCGCTCGTGTGTGGTCCCCCCGCGGTCCCCAGGAGGCCGCGCAGCACAGGGCACTCTTGCGCAGGGTCGCTCCCGCGTGTAGCCGGCAGGGGTGTGGGCGAGGGGGAGGGGAGGGGGGGAGGGGGGGGGAGAGGAGGTGGGTAAACGAGGGGTGGGGGGCCACGGAGGAGGGGGCAGCGGGAGGAGTGCGAGGGTGGCCCGGACGTGCGATGCCATGCTGCCATGCTTCTTGCCAGGCGCGGCCCCCGGGAGGCCGCGCACCGAAGGCTTGTCTCTTGCCCGGGAGTCGCTCCTCGAGCGCGCAGGGTGGAAAAAGAGCGGGGCATGCGCGGCGAGGGGTGGCGAGGGGGGCGGGGTCGGCGGCGTGCGCCCGAGGCTCGGGTTTCGAGGTTCTGCGGGCTCGGGGACGGTCTTCGGGACGAGGCTCTGGGTTCGGTGGGGGGTTCTGGGTTCTCTGGGTTCGAGGGGGGGGTTGGGGTTCGAGGGGGGGGTTCGAAGGGGGGGTTCTGGGTTCTAGGTGGGGGGGTCTGGGTTGGAGAGGGGGTTCTGCGTTCGAGGGGGTGCTCTGGGTTCGAGGGGGGGTCTGGGTTCCGCAGGTCGAGCAGGACGAGGCTCGAGGTTCTGGGTTCGAGGGGGGCCCTGGGTTCGGGACGTTTTGTTCTGTCCTTCTCGGCCTCCCTGGGCCGGTGTCGGGCCCCGGGGCGGAGGGAAACGGATCCGGGGTGGAAAGCTGCACCAGATGGACCCCGGGAGGGGTTCGGGGACCGATTGTGAGCAGCGGCTACTACCAGCCACGCGCAGAGGAGGGTGGGGGGTCGTCGTCGTCGTCGTCGTCGTCGTCGTCGTCGTCGTCGTCGTCGTCGTCGTCGTCGTCGTCGTCGTCGTCGTCGTCGTCGTCGTCGTCGTCGTCGTCGTCGTCGTCGCGACCACCCCTCCCACCCAGGCTCTGGCTCACAGATCTCCTGGAGCTTGCCGCGTGCTCCCTGGGCCCACCCGCGTCTCGACGACCCGGGGCGAAACGGCCGGGGGCGGCAACGGGGCCAGGGCTGCAGGCTCTCGCGGGCTGCCGCCGGCGGTCGGAGAATTCCCTCGCCCAGAGGAGCCGCCGGCGGTCGGAGAATTCCCTCGCCCAGAGGGGCTCGTGCCAGCGGCTGCGCCTCGCCAGAAGCGTTCCTGGGGGGGTGCGCCTGGAGTGCGGCCGTGGAGAGGCGATCGAGGGGAGGCCCAGAAGCCGGGCGGCGTCGGGGCGCTGAATGCCCGCCGCCGCAGCAGCAGCAGCAGCAGCAGCAGAAGCAGAAGCAGTGGCAGCAGCAACCTCTGGCAGCGGCAGCAGTAGCAGTGGCAGCGGCAGGGCAGCAGCAGTATAGCCGTGGCAGCGTGCAGCAGGCAGTGCGACGGCAGTGGCGGGTTGGGAGGGGGGGGACGGATGAGACGCCGCGCGCCGCAGCGGGGAGGCTGCGACGACTCCACTCCGCAGCAAGGGCGCCCTCGAGGGCGCGAAGTTATTCGCGCTTCGTGGTTCGGCTCCGATTCCTCCTCATCCTCCTCTTTTCTCCCCTGGAGGGCTGCGCGAGAGCTCGAACTTATTTGCCTTTCGCGCTTCGCGCAGCGCAGAGTGCGAAGTCAGGCGCCCTTGGAGAGAAGGCGGGCCTCTGGAGACTCTGCCTGATCGCGTCGCGATATGAAGCGTTCCAAGAAACGCCTCGCCTTCGAGGATCGAAGGGGTTGCCATCTCTTCCGCGGCGGAAGGTCGGCGGAAAGCGGCGGAAGTAAAATGGCGCCCGGCACCACCGGCGGAAACCGGCAGGAGGCCGGCGGAAGCTGGCTGAAGCAAAGATCGACCTCCCAAGAGACGGCAGCATTTTTGGGTTCAGGGTTTCCGGAATCCGCCATATGAATGAATCTGCCCGCACCTCCTGACGGTGCTTGCTCCTCTGGGCTTGCTCAGCTTTGCTGAGGACTGTGTGGCCAGAGTCCCAGCTCAAGCCGTCTTACATACTCGCGCCCCGTGGCTGTGGGGGCCTTACAACACTCAGCCAACTTCGCGATCTTGTGCGGTAGGTTCATGCGGCGATGGAGCGCCGGCGACGACGGCGTAGGCGTTCAAGGTTGAATTCCGCATCATAGAACGACGCGGAAGCACGGAGGGAGATATGGGTCCTCCTTTCGGGCGGTTAGTTGTAGGGCCCTGGAGCCCCTAAATTGGCCAGAATCACTAAAACAGGTCCGCCGTAGCTGGTGTTTTTCAAGTGACGGCAGTTCCAGTTAGTGGAACGGGGCGGGGGGGCGCCCCCCAGTACACATCAATGAACCAGGTCCCACTAAACCCAGTTCTGGCAACGCCCGATCCTTGCGTCGGGGGTCCACAGGGCCTGTCCCAGGGTGCGTCCTGGCCAGAATCCCAAAGGCGCATCCAGGCGTGGCGCCAAGAACGCTCTAGAGGGCCCCAAAAGGCTGACTCGGAAAATTTCCAAGACACACTTCCTTCTCTCCCTCCCCCAATGGGGGGCCCCTCGTGTTCCGCTCGGCCTCCTCCCCCTCGTCCTCCTCCCCCTCGTCCTCCTCCCCCTCGTCCTCCTCCCCCTCGTCCTCCTCCCCCTCGTCCTCCTCCCCCTCGTCCTCCTCCCCCTCCTCCTCCCCCTCCTCCTCCTCCCCTCGTCCTCCTCCCCCTCGTCCTCCTCCCTCCCCCGATGGGGCCCCCCCCCTCGTCCTCCTCCGCCTCGTCCTCCGCCTCCTGGCGGCGTCCTCGCAGGCGCCCTGTGGCTGCCCGCCGGCGCGCCTGCGGCGACCGTGGCGCATTCCCACCAGGAGCCTGCGGCCAGGCTTACGTCGGGCATGTCCTCCTACAGGAGGAGCATTCAAGAGTAGCCCAAACAATAGCATCGGGACGATTTGTCGAGTATTTGTCGGGCGTCTTGTTTGAGCATGTTGTGACCATGTAAGATCTTTCCTCCCGAATCCGCCTGCAGGAGGACCTGCCAGACCGAAGGCCAGGGTTCGGGCCTCCGACGTGGAGCCGCTTGGGCGGTTGGGGGGAGGGAGAGGGGCCCGCATTTCGGACCGAATGTTGTGTAGTCTTGGCGTTCTTCACTCGTTGGGGGCAGTGGTCGGGCCCCGTGGCCGTCACGGCATGGGGCCGGGACGAAGGAATGCCCCCCCGTCTGTTCCACCACTCGCAAGCCAAGAGCTGCGTCTTCGAGCCAGACACCAGCGTGAGCATGGCACTGCAGCGGCAAGGTTCCAATGCCTCTGGAGCCCGCGGATTGAAGATTACGCCACCGAGGAAACCCACATACTTATATGATGGCTGGAGTGATGATAGCTGAAGTGAAGCATGTGATAATGATATTGGTGGCCGTTGTCCCTCCGATACCGTTGGTGACGCTGTCGCTGGTAAGCTGTTGAGAAGCTGTCGCTGGTAAGCATTGAATGCGTAGTGTTTCAAGCCGTTCCCATGCCTGTCAACATATGTACGCAAACCATTTAAACTAACCTCGGCACCCATCTCTAGCATTGAGTTCTTGAGCTGCTCGCACGGAGGCGACTGCGCGGACATGGCACATTTGGGCGCCATGACGGGAAGTCACCGTGTCTATGATCACCCTTGGCGGTCAGAGCAAGAGACTGTTCTCGAGCCAAAGCTGCCTTCTACGCGACCCCTGTACGACTGGCTCGGATAGCAGCCGTGTTAAAGGACCACCCCCGTCGCACTTCCTGTGGTGTCGAGAAAGTGCCACACCTGCTATGCCCTGGACGACTGGCTCGGATAACGGCCCGGTGCAAAGACCACCCCTTGCGCACACCTTTTGGTGTCGAGAATATGCCACGCCTGCTGCGCCCTGGACGACCGGCTCGGATAGCGGCCGCGCTCAGAAACCACCACCTGCAACCCCCCTTATGGCGTCGAGAATCTGCCACGCCTGCTATGTCCTGGACGACCGACACGGATAGCGGCCGCGCTCAGAGACCACGCCCTGCGCACCCCCTGTGGTGTCGAGAAAGTGCCAGCCACGCCCGCTATGCCCTGGACGACCGGCTCGGATAGCAGCCGCGCTCAGAGACCACCCCCTGCGCACCACGTATGGTGTGGAGAAAGTGCCATGCCTGCTACGCCCTGGACGACCAGTATGGATAGCGGCCGCGCTCAGAGACCACGCTTTGCGCACCCCCTATGGAGTCGAGAAAGTGCCACGCCTGCTGTGCCCTGCACGACCTGCTCGGATAGCGGCCGCGCTCAAAGACCACCCCCTGCGCACCCCTTATGGTGTCGAGAATATGCCACGCTTGCTACGCCGTGGACGACCCGCTCGGATAGCGGCCGCGCTCAGAAACCACCCCCTACGCACCCTCTACGGTGTCGAGGGAAGTGCCACGCCTGCTATGCCCTGGACGACTGGCTCGGATACCGGCCGCGCTCAGAGACCACGCCCTGCGCACCCCTTATGGTGCCGAGAATCTGCCACGCCTGCCAGGCTTTGCGAGCCCGCAAGGGAGGTGAGTGAGACGCGGGTAGGACGCGGGAGGGAATAAAACCAGAACCCCACGAAACATGTGGGGAAGAAAACCAGAACCCCATGAAACATGTGGATACGTGCCGTGCATGTGTTGCGCGCGGGTGAGGGGAGGAAGGCGCGGCAGGGAAGAAAACCAGAATCCCACGAAACACGTGGGGAACAGCATCAACCGACCGACCAGAGCTCGAGGTTCGAGCCGTGCCGGGCCCCAGGACTGGTAGAAAGATCAATCCAGGAAGGACAGGCTTACCAGGATGGGCCCTGGGCGGGTTCCGGGGACGGACTTTGAGCTGATGTCTGTCGCCCACAGCGCCACCAGCAACCACAATTTGGGGAGCGGATTCGACGGGCCCCTCTGCGAAAGATCGTCGATTTTGTGTTCTAAGAACCTTGTTTTTGTGCTTGGAATCTTTTTGGGGTTCTAAGAACACGTTGTGGTAGGCCTGTAGGAATGCCAGGACAGTCGGTCCCTGCTCAAGTCTCTGTGCCCATCTTGCCTCCCGTGCCGCCACGATCGCAACCTGCATCCAAGGCGGCGCCGACCCACCCAACAAGGTCCTGTCTCCCCCCCAGAGAGATCCGATGCTCCAGCAAACGTTGTGTCGGCGGGTTTTTGGCCGTGTCCGGGCTCCGGGGGCCCTCGCCGGGCCTCGAGAGCGTCAAACAACGACTCAGGATTAGAAACTGGCCCCAAAGAAGGGAGGAGGAGGAGGAGGAGGAGGAGGAGGAGGAGGAGGAGGGGGGGAGGAGGAGGAGGAGAGGGGGAGGGAGGAGGAGGGGGAGGAGGAGAGGAGGAGGAGGAGGAGGAGGAGGGGGAGGAGGACGAGGGGGAGGAGGACGAGGGGAGGAGAGGAGGGGGAGGAGGGCGAGGTGGAGGAGGAGGAGGGGGAGGGGTAGGAGGAGGGAAGAGGTCCAGACCTCCCGGGCCCACGCACCGAGCAACTGGGAGCAGCCAGAGGCCTTTGGCCCGGCGCCCGCGAGAGGACTTCCTGTTCGGAGCGGCGCCCCCCTCCGCCGCGCACGCCGCGACGGCTGCCGCCGCCAGCAGCTTCCTGGGGACGGCGGGCGGCCACCAGGGGCAAGGATAGGGGGGGGGGATAGGCGTAGGTCGGGCCTGTCCCTCCACAGGAGGAAGATTCAAAAACAATATCAAAAAAACAGTCTGGGGGCGATGTTTGGATTACTTTTTGATGCTTTGGGGGCACTCTTGGAGGATCTGTGATGTTTCCGCTTGTAGGGGGACATGCCCGACCTAAGGATAGGCATATGGGGGGGATGCATCGACCCCCAATCGCCGGTTGATCGCCGATCTGGGCCCGGTAGGCCCAACCTGCCCTGGAACATGCGGCTTCACTATCGGGGGCCCATCGCCGATCCATCGGCGATGTATCGCCCATTCGAGGTCGATGTTTCCCCCCTTATGCCTACCCCCGTATCGATGCCCCCCAGGCCACCCCTTCGACGACGCGCACGCGCCCCACGTCGCCGAGGCGCGCGGGCGCGCCCCTGGCCGCTCGGCGGCCCGTCGGCGCCGGCGGCTCTCGCCGGCCCTCGGCCCGAGGTGCCCTCGGTTTTGCTGCTGCCCGCGCGCGCTGGCGCATCCCCTCGCGGGCTCCTCGTGCAGCACCCCAGCTAGAATCGGCTAGGCGGCTAGACGCAAGAGTGACTTCTCGCCGGAGCGACCTTGCCGTGCGGGCACACCAGGGTCCACCGATCGCCGAAGGCGATGCGACAGTAGCATCTTGCGCGCTTGTGTTTGGCCCCCCCATGAACTTCGGCTTCGGCACCGCCTGTATCCGAGGCTCGCTCTGAGGCTCCGCCGCTTCCTCCCTCCTCTTCTCCGCCTAATTCAGGCTTCGCGCGGCCCGCTCAGCTTCGACCGGAAGAGGTGCGCTCTCGACCCGCGGATCAAAAATTGTTTGGCCCGCCCGCGGCCCCCCCCAAAAGCCGCGCACCAGAGGTCACTCGTACACAGGGTCACTCATTGCCTGTGCCCGAGGGAAGTGCCCCCCGCTGCCCGAGGTGCCCCCAGGAGTTGCCAGGAAGCCGCCCACGGCCTCCACGGAGCACCCCGTGGCGAGGCCCAGAGGGCGCCCCAGGGATGATAGGCCTGTTTTCCACCACCACCACCACCACCATAAGTTGGAGGGGGAAGGAGGTGGAGGAGGAGGAGGAGGAGGAGGAGGAGGAGGAGGAGGAGGAGGAGGAGGAGGAGGAGGAGGAGGAGGAGGAGGAGGAGGAGGAGGAGGAGGAGTAGGAGGAGGAGAGGAGGAGGAGGAGGAGGAGGAGGAGGAGGAGGAGGAGGAGGAGGAGGAGGAGGAGGAGGAGGAGGGGGAGGAGGAGGAGGAGGAGGAGGAGGAGGAGGAGGAGGAGGAGGAGGAGGAGGAGAGGAGGAGGAGGAGGGAGGAGGAGGTGAGGAGGAGGAGGCGGAGGAGGAGGAGGAGGAGGAGGAGGAGGAGGAGGAGGAGGAGGAGGAGGAGGAGGAGGAGGAGGAGGAGGAGGAGGAGGAGGAGGAGGAGGAGGAGGAGGAGGAGGGAGGAGGAGGAGTAGGAGGCGGAGGAGGAGGAGGAGGAGGAGGAGGAGGAGGAGGAGGAGGAGAGGAGGAGGAGGAGGAGGAGGAGGAGGAGGAGGGAGGAGGAGGAGGAGGAGGAGGAGGAGGAGGAGGCGGAGGAGAGGAGGAGGAGGAGGAGGAGGGGATGAGGAGGAGGAGGAGGGGGAGGAGGAGGACGGAGGGGAGGAGGAGGAGGAGGAGGAGGAGGAGGAGGAGGAGGAGGGGGGGGGAGGAGAGGAGAGGAGAGAGGAAGGAGGAGGAGGGGGAGGAAGGAGGATGGGGAGGAGGAGGAGGAGGAGGAGGAGGAGGAGGAGGAGGAGGAGGAGGAGGAGGAGGAGGAGGAGGAGGAGGAGGAGGAGGGGGATCATATTTCCTACGGCTCAGGATGGCTATCTCAGTTTTGTGTTGGAGCCGTCTGTCTCCGAACACGGGGGCCCTCGGGATCTGACTCAGTACTTCATAGTTGCGCCACATAGATACTGTGATACTGGACTGCCACCACGGGTTCCAGGAATGAGTAATCAGGCACTCGTCACTTTGGCCGAAGGTCGAGAGGCGGTCAACTGCAAGCTGATAGGCGCGAGGCATGGTGGCAGCACGGAACATCGCTGCTCGAGCGGCAGCTTCGAATTCACGAGCTCCAGTCTTATACACCAGGGAGGAGAGATTGCGGATCAAGTCGGAGGGGATGGCATTACGGGGTTCGTTGACGAGAATGTGCAGAGATTTGTCTTCGGCGGATTTGGCGAAGGAGGAGGAGGAGGAGTGAGGAAGGGAGGAGGGGGAGGAGGAGGGGAGGAGAGGAGGAAGGAGGTGGGAGAGGAGGGAGGGAGGAGGGGAGGCGGAGGAGGAGGAGAGGAGGAGGAGGAGGAGGAGGTGGGAGGATAGGAGGAGGAGGGGAGGAGGAGGATGAGGAGGGAGGAGGAGGAGGATTCAGGGAGAAGCAGAAGGGGGAGGAGGAGGGAGGGAGGGAGAAGGGAGGAGGGAAGATGGGAGGAAGGGAGGGGAGGAGGGGAGGAGGAAGGAGGAGGGAAGACGGAGGATCGGACCGGATCAGAAGGGTCCGCGAGAGAGCTCCACAGTGGAGCTGCTGCCATGGTTGCGCAGGAAGACAGATCTCCTGCAGACCAGGAGGAGGAGGAGGGAGGAGGGAGGATCCTTCAGCTCCACTTGGGGGTGGCGTCAACGGGTGGGGCGAAAGTTGAACGCGCTTGCTGGTGCGAGGTCGTCTTTTTGTTTCTCGGAAGACGGCCTGCGCATGTGAAAGTTTCCCCCATAGGTTTCGCCCATGCGGCAGTTTGAAAACGCCTCGATGTCGCTCTGGATTGGCTTTGCGTGTGACTGAAGCGGTTGGGGCCTGGCTTTTCTACGTTTGGACACGCCATTGCGATTGTGCCATTTGGAACGAGACCGGCGGGATCAATATCTTCTTTGCTCTGGGTCAAGGGGCCGATGTTTTCGGAATGCCCCGGTTTGGAAGCGGTTCTGGGGGGCCATCCCCCAATTTGTTCTTCGCCAGCGTCGCCTCTCTCAACCATCTTGTGGCTTTAAAGGTTCTCGTTTCGAAAAGGGTGCCCCGCGTTCCTTCCTCCTCACCTCCTCGCCCCCTTCTCCCTCCTCCCTTTTCAACCATGCGTCTCCCGCACACTGGAGAACGTTTCGGGGCTCTGTAGGGGTCTCCGCCGAAGGCCCCAGTGGCTGCACTCGTATGCGGCTCCCCCACCCAGCACTACGTTTCGTGGCGCCATAGGAGTTGCTACCGAGAGCCCCAACGGCTGCAGTAGCATGGGGTTCCCCCACTCAGGCCGGCGTTCCGTAGCCCGAATAAGGAGCTCCACCTAGGGCCCGAGCGGCTGCACTCGCATGCGATCGCCTCCCCCCAGGATCGCATTTCGTGGCCCCGTCGGGAGCTCCACCGAAGGCCCCAGTGGTTGCATTCGCAGGCGTGTCCCCACCCACGACCGCATTTCGTGGCCCCATGGGGAGCCCCACCGAAGGCCCTGGTGGCTTCATTCGCATGCGCTTCTACCACCCAGGACAGCGCTGCGTGGCCCCATATATGGGCTCCACCGAAGGCTCCGGTGGCTGCACTAGCATGCGGACCTCCGACCCAGGACAGCGTTTCTTGGCCCCACGGGGAGCCCCGCAGAAGGCCCCTGTGGCTGCACTCGCATGCGGTTCCAACACTCACGCCAGCGCTCCGTGGCCTCATCGAGAGTTCCGCCGAAGGCCCATGTGGCCGGACATGCATGCGGCTCCCTTCGCCCAGGACAGCGCTTCGTGGCCCCGTCGGGAGCTCCGACGAGGCCCCAGTGGCTGCACTCGCATGCGGTTCCCTCCGCCCAGGACCGCGTTTCTCGGCTCAATCGAAAACTCCATCGAAGGCCAAGTGGTTGCACTCGCATGCGGTCCCCCCATCCAGGACCAAGTTTTTCGGCTCAGTCGGGGATTCCGCCGAAGGCCCTTGTGGCTGTACTCGGATGCGGTCCCCCCCACCCAGGACAGCGTTTCGTGGCCCCGTAGGGGGCTCCACCCAAGGCCCCAATGGCTGCACTCGCATGCGGTTCCTTTGCCCAGGGCCGCGTTTCTCGGCTCGATCGGGAGCTCCACCGAAGGCCCCGGTGGCTGCACTCGCATGCGGTTCCCCCACCCAGGACAGCGCTTCGTGGACCCGTGTGGAGCCCCATCGAAGATGAAATATTCACAATTACGGAACCCACAGCTGCATGTGGTGAGGGCCATCTCCAGGCAAATTTGCGAGGAATCGTTGCCGCGAGTGCGTGGACCTGATGTACTTCCACGGAGGATCCTTGTTGCGGGAGTGAATATTAGTCGTTTTTCACTGGGGAAGCGGGGCCCGATGCATGCGGCGCTCTGCGGCGAGAGGGGTGGCGGCAGCCCCTGAGAAGACTTGCAGAAAGCGTGCCCGACAGCCCTTGGCATTCTAGCGCGCCCCTAACGAGCACAAGGCCCTGTGGCATGTGCATCCTCCACCGTTTGCCCTCGTTTGGGAAATATGTTTTGGCTCCAGTTGCCATGGTCTATACCATCGGGTCCTCGCCGTCTGCTTTTCCTGCCGCCCATCCTTCTGCTGCTTTCCTCATGCTCCCAAATCGCAGTGCCATCAAACCCTTTCGAAAACTTCGATTGGACGCCGCAAACGGTCTCACTTGTCCTCAACTGGACCGCCTTTCTCGTCTCAATTTCTCTTAATCCACGGTTTGAACGGAGAATTATATTTCAATTTCTCTCAGAAGATCTCAAATTCTCTCAATCCGTCTCAATGTTTCTCAATTCGCCTCAAAACGAGAGTTCCATAGTATACGCTAGCGTGTTGGGGCCCCGCTCCCCTCTCAAAATATCTTTTTGGGAATGCCGCGCAGTCCCAAGCCAGTTAAGATTTTCCTGCCTGCTATTCCAATTCATCGGGAATAGCGTTCCAATGGACCTCATCGTGCTCCTCATGCTCCTCCTCACTCCTCACTTCCCACCCCAGCTAGCTTCTCCTCATCCTCCTCCTGCTGCCCCCTGCTGACCGCTCGTGTTACTCCGCCGAAGGCCCCAGCGGCTGCACGCGCACGCAGTTTCCCCACCCAGGACAGCGCTTTGCGTTCCTATCGGATGCCCCACCGAGGGCCCCAGTGACCGCACTCGCATGCGGTCCCCCCACCCCGGACAGCGTTTCGTGGCCCCGTAGGGAGCTCCACCGAAGGCTCCAGTGGCTGCACTTGCTCCTCCGCCCAGGACAGCGGTTCGTGGCCAGGAGCTCCACCGAAAACCCTGGTGGCTGCACTCGCATGCGGTTCCCCTGCCCAGGACCGCGTTTCTCGGCTCAATCGGGAGGTCCACCGAAAGCCCCAATGGCTGCATTCGCGTACGGTTCTCCCACCCAGGACAGCGTTTCGTGGACCCATCGGGAGCTCCATCGAAGACGAGATT